GCTGTACGCGATGTGCGGGTCGTCGTCCTCGTCACCACGCCTTAAACGAAATTATAAGGCGTGCCTTGGTCTCGGCAGAGGTGCCTTGCCTACTCGAGCCCCCAGGTTTGTCCAGGACGGACGGGAAATTTTGGACTGTGATTTATCGTGGTTACCTCAGGTCAATGAAGTCAGTAGGCGTATGCATTATTCATACCACTCTCTCAAACGACTCCAGAACTTCCTTCCATTTAATACTAAGATTATGCATGCACAAGCTCTTCTCCTCCCTATCCTTGACTATGCTGATGTATGTTATCTGGATGCGACTGAGGAGTTGCTAAATAAACTAGAGCGCCTACAAAATCTTGCTATTCGGTTCATCTTCGGTCTCCGCAAATACGATCACATCTCAGAGTTTCGCGCTCAGTTGAAATGGCTCCCTATCCGTCTACGTCGTGATGTGCACATCCTATCTCTCCTATACAAAATTCTGAAAGTCCCATCCTCTCCTGAATATCTCCGTTCCCGCTTCCGTCTATTATCCCTGACTCCCGATCTAGGCGTGCTTGCATCACTAAGATGCTCGCATGTCCTAGATCAAACACTAACTTTTTCTTTAATTCTTTTACTGTCCGTGCCACACAGTTGTGGAATAAGTTGCCCAGAGAAATTCAAGACAGTCCTTCTATCGATTCTTTTAAGAAAAGGCTGAAAGCGCACTTTCTGTCACAACTGTAAGTAATTATGTGTGTGTATTATCTAAAACTCCTTTTTCTTGTTGTCATATTATATTATATTATTTATTTATAATATGTATTAGTATATCTTATTTTATAATATCTGTGTATTTGTATATTTTAGTTGGTAGGTAATTTAGTATTTATACTCTTTATATATAATTTATTTTATGTAAGCACATACTTTATTGTATTTTCAAGTTCCCGCAGTTTTTCTCCTCTTTAATCTCCATTGGGTTGGCTGGAAGAGATTTCTTATAGAAATAAGCTCGCCCTTGTAACTAATTTTAAGTTTTTCACCGATTGTTATTATGTATGCAATAAAGAATTCATATATAAAAGGCCAGACGGTCTTACGCTAACTCCGTGGCAGAAAGGTCGTTGCCTCATTTGGGACGCTACTTGCGTTTGCACTTTTGCTGCCTGCCATCTTGCCGGTACCCAGAGGTGCGCCGGTGCAGCAGCAGAGGCAGCGGCCAGAAGCAAGCGTGCCAAGTATTCTGCTCTGGAGTCGGTGTATGACTTTGTGCCTTTTGCCGTTGAAACCTCTGGTCCGTGGGGCTCAGAAGCCAAGAAACTCATCGCCGACATAGGCCAGAGACTAAGAGACAGGGGTGGTGATCCGCGCTCGGGTTACTATCTCATGCAGCGAATTTCGCTAGCGATCCAAAGGGGCAACGCGGCTAGCATCATGGGCACGTTCGGTCAGGGTTCATTGTGTGGGGGGCTTTTTGACTAGGCTACTATTTGTATGCTCATACTTATGTTTCGTTAGGTTTAGTTTTAAGTTTATTATTTTGACATTTGTATTAATTTATTGTATTGACATGATTAATTCCAGATAAATTAACTAATTATAATCTAGATGAGATTTAAAAGGAATAATTCTTAAAAAATAAACATACCTACCTTCAAATTAAAACTAAAAAATCATTTATATATGTCGCAGTACGATGGCAGAATTAGGTTTTTGGCCAAAAACCTAGGTTTTTGGCCAAAAGCCGGCATATGGCAAAATCGTAGACTTCCTTCGGCCATCGTCCTAAGCTGATCCGAGTGAGCAATCGGGACTGACGGCTTAACGTGCCCGTGTAGTTCGGGCATACACCTCAAAAGGCAGGAGGTAACATTTGACGTTCTGGAGGGTGGGAGGTAGCGTCAGACGCTCTGGAGGGCGTGGGTAGCGTCGGACACTCTGGAGGATGTAAGATGACGGGCGTTGGATTTTCTGGGGGTCCGACGCTACCTCCTGGTATCCAGGGCGTCCAACGCTACCACCAATCCTCTAGAGCGTTCAGTGGTACGTCCTGCTCTTATGGTGTCTGAAGCTCCCCCCTGCCCTTCGAGGCAATCCTGCTATTCAGACTGTCTGATATTACCCCCCGTCCTTCAGGGTGTCCATTTACGGTGTCCAAGTCTCCCCTCAAAAGATCAGAGGGAGGTGCATAAAGTACCTCTTACTCCTCGTTCCCCCGAACCACACGGGTACGGTAAGCCGTCGGTCGGTCCCGATTGCTCTCTATGATCACTTAGACGGCGGTCGTTAAACAACCATGTTAGAGGCCTGCTACTTGCAGTAGGCGGTTGAAAACTCTGATACCAGGGTCCATCGGCTCGTTAGGTGCTTTGGTGTACCACTCGAAGACGAAGAAGTTCCCCCGAAATTCAAAAAAGCCATAATACTAAACAAATCTAGGATTTCGGCCAAAATCCTAGTTTTTTGGCCAAAATCCTAGGTTTTTGGCCAAAAACCTGGATCAGATCAGGACGATGGCCGAAGGAAGTCTACGATTCTGCCATATGCCGGCTTTTGGCCAAAAACCTAGGTTTTTGGCCAAAAACCTGATTCTGCCATCGTACTGCGACATATACATAGCTCTAAATTACTTGTAGCTTCCCTTTTCGCAGCTGAACATAAAACATTCAAAAGTGAGATGATTACAAGAGGCACAAATCACGATGTGTCGAATGAAATTAACAATATCGTGTGTAGGTATGTGTTGGTCGCAATCAACAGAACGACGGATGTTTTTTGTTCATGGTTCTTCGTATACATAATGCACCAGTAGGGCGGCCAAATTGCTTAAGGATTGTAGGAAAGGATTATAAGACTTGATTAGATTACAATTGCAGTGAAAAGCGATGCTATGCAGTGATTCCGGCTTAGAATAGCATCACCTCAATTCTACACGTGGGTGCCGTAAAAAGCGACTAAGGGAGGGTTAATTTTTCAGGGGATGGGCAGCAGTACCATGCAACATCTTGCACTGCGCTCGCCAATCCGCCTGCCAAGCGTAGTGAGTATAGCAATATACTCGTAATAGTACAGCCGATACGCCACTACCAACTGGGCTACCACGGTTCTACCCTAGCCTGCGTATCAAACAAGTATATCTTGTAAGTATATCTCTATTTTTCCAAAAATTGTATACATAACAAGGAGAATGTTCTATAATGTGGTATAAGAGTCTTTTTACGTAAAAACTTGTTTAATTTTCTCCTAAAGCCATAGCCACACCAGAATAAAGGAGCTCGGAGCCGACGCAGCGTTAATGACGCGCCAGCGGCACGCTCCGTATCGGTAGCATCGGACGATACAGGCCCCATTATACGGACGATACGAGGTCCATCGACAGAGTATCAACCTACCCATTTAAGAGATTAACTAATAATGGTTAATCATACGTAGCGCAGTGGTAGAGTGACTGCTTGCGACTCAAAAGGTTCCAAGTTCGATACCAGGTGAGTCACTCACAATCAACCCGGGGCTTAAATCTACATTTAGCTGTTTGGCGGGCAGAAGGTTCACCCGAAAGTATATGTGTGTGACTGCGACTAGTAATAACGACTGTCGTCTGCCAACCATCCTTGCCAGATATATTGAGGCTACGTATGTAAAGACTTGTTTCATTTTTTCTCATAAAGCCATAGCCACACCAGAATAAAGGAGCTCGGAGCCGACGCAGCGTTAATGACGCGCCAGCGGCACGCTCCGTATCGGTAGCATCGGACGATACAGGCCCCATTATACGGACGATACGAGGCCCAACGTCAGCACAGCAACCTACCCATTTAAGGGATCAACTTATACTGGTTAATCATACACATACAAGCAGCTGATGTGACACAGTGTTAGAGTGACTGCTTGCGATGTCAAAGGTTCTGGGTTCGATACCAGGTAGGTCACTCTCAAAGTTTTTTCAATGTACTGACCCTACAATTTCAGCCCCTGGACTATTATATGTAAAGACTTGTTTCATTGTCTCCTAAAGCCATAGCCACACCAGAATAAAGGAGCTCGGAGCCGACGCAGCGTTAATGACGCGCCAGCGGCACGCTCCGTATCGGTAGCATCGGACGATACAGGCCCCATTATATTGACGATACGAGGTCCATCATCTTCCTGCCCTTACCCAATTACCTGGGATCGGCGCAACACGTTTCGTTAGAAACAAAATCGTGTTGCAAAAGGATTTCGCTGAATTTGACGATCGGCCGCCTACCAGTCGTCAACCCTCCTTGGGAATGCTTTTGTGGTGGATTAACCGACACCGTACGGTTGGCTCTGGCTGTTTGGGTCGGGTTTATTCCTTGGTCACCTCTTACGACCCCCACGGGAAGAGAGGGGGCGGTGCTATGTAGCATCGGACGATACAGGCCCCATTATACGGACGATACGAGGTCCATCGCCAGCGTATCAACATACCCATTTAAGGGATAAACTCATTCTGGTTAATCATACAAATATAAGCAGCCGATGTGGCACAGTGGCAAAGTGACAAAGGTTCTGGGTTCGATACCGGGTAGGTAATTCACAAAGGTGATATAATTATATCACTATGTGAAATTGCGGCCTAAACCACTTGATACTCTTAAAAAGGGCACGTTCGCTATCGGTCAGTATTAAAATTACCCCCTATATACTGGTTAGTCTCAGCACATGTGTGTAAACCATCCTAGCAAGATACTAACATAAGTAAAGACTTGTTTCATGTTCTCCTAACGCCATAGCCACACCAGAATAAAGGAGCTCGGAGCCGACGCAGCGTTAATGACGCGCCAGCGGCACGCTCCGTATCGGTAGCATCGGACGATACAGGCCCCATTATACGGACGGTACGAGGTCCATCGCCAGAGTATCAACTATCAACCTACCTATTCAACGGACCAACTTTTACCGGTTTTTCTTAGCACTTGTATGTAAACCACCCTTGCGAGATATATTGTTTCCACGTATGTAAAGATTTCTAAATTGAAAATGAGATAATTAAAAAATTCATTGGCGACCGCCGGGAATTGAACCCGGGACCATGGGGTACCGTCCCACTGCTCTGCCAACTAAGCTAAGGGCGCCTGGTGGACCATGAATTTCTCAACTCATTATGGTCTCATAGCACTTGTATGTCAACCATCCTTGCCAGAAAATTGAGTTTACATACGTAAAACCTTGTTTCATTTTCTCCTAAAACCACAGCCACACCAGAATAAAGGAGCTCGGAGCCGACGAAGCGTTAATGACGCGCCAGCGGCACGCTCCGTATCGGTAGCAGCGGACGATACAGGCCCCATTATACGGACGATACGAGGTCCATCATCATCCTGCCCTTACCCAATTACCTGGGATCGGCGCAACACGTTTCGTTAAACACAAAATCGTGTTGCAAAAGGATTTGGCTGAATTTTACGATCGGCCGCTTACCAGCCGTCAACCCTCCTTGGAAATGCTTTTGTGGTGGATTAACCGCCACCATACGGTTGGCCCTGGCTGTTTGGGTCGGGTTTATCCCTCGGTCACCTCTTACGACCCCTACGGGAAGAGAGGGGGTGGTGCTATTCTACTCTGCCGGCACCACACTTGTTTCATTTTCTCCTAAAGCCATAGCCACACCAGAATAAAGGAGCTCGGAGCCGACGCAGCGTTAATGACGCGCCAGCGGCACGCTCCGTATCGGTAGCATCGGACGATACAGGCCCCATTATACGGACGATACGAGGTCCATCGCCAGCACATCAACCTACTCATTTAAGGGATCAACTTATACTGGTTTTTCTTAGCATTTGTATGTAAACCACCCTACATACATACATAAATCACGCCTTTATCCCTTGCGGTGTAGGTAGAGCGTCAAAGGCCGTAAAAATACGGTCATTATCGCCACGTCTGATAAATATTTGACGGACATCTTAGCTATTTTCGTGTATCACTATAGTGACAGGTTGTCAGCCTGTCGCCTAAAATTGCATTACACATGAAACCCTCGAGTCCTTTAGTCGCTTCTTTCGACACCCACAGGAAAGAAATGGAGTGATGCTATTCTATGCCGGCATCACAGGGCATGTAAACCAGTCTTGTGAGATATATTAAGTCTGCATTATGTAAAGACTTGTTTAATTTTGTCATAAAGCCATAGCCACACCAGAATAAAGGAGCTCGGAGCCGACGCAGCGTTAATGACGCGCCAGCGGCACGCTCCGTATCGGTAGCATCGGACGATACAGGCCCCATTATACGGACGATACGAGGTCCATCGACAGCACAGCAACCTACTCATTTAAAGGACCAACTTCTTCTGGTTAATCGTACAAATACAAGTAGCCGACGTGGCACAGTGGCAAAGTGACTGCTTGGTGTCACCATGTCAAAGGTTCTGGGTTCGATACCAGGTAGGTCACTCACAAAGTTAAATATCACGATCTGATTTTTTTCTAGTGACATTGCAGGCAGAACCCAGAATCTCCTGATTGTCCGAAAAGTAAGATACTTCCATGTGGAGGGCACGTTAAGCTGACGGTCGCGGTTGCTGTCTAGATTACTTAGATAGTAGTTGTTACACTACCATGTCAGAGGCTTACCACTTGCATTACACTTGCAGAGGCTTGCCACTATCAAAATCTCTGACTCTAGGTTCATTTGGTCGTTGGACGAGTCGTTTTCTCACACCAAGAGAGAGATATAATAACAAATATGAAACAGTATAAAAAAGTCCCTTTGATGGAAAGGTTGATGTGCTGCCGATGTCCAGCCAGCGTGCATTATGTGGACGATTCGCTACGACGGGATAATATGCCGCAGGCAGCGATTGTGGGCAAATCAGTTGTACTCCTGTGCGGTTAAAAGGTACATGCAGTTAATAATGTTGAAGATGAACATGAGACTGATATAAATACAAAATAAGAATACCAAATCAAAGAAAATTAAAGAAAAACTATTGTTGATATATTAACACAAACGAAATAAATTGTAGAACAGTAAAAAGACCTACCGTGACAGCAAATGGTGTTCTAAAACAACAGACACAAACACCATAATTTGATAGGCACTTGCATTGGCAGAAGACGAGCAGATTAAAAATTTGAAAAATGCCCCAGGCGACGAGCCTGCCGTGCAGCGACGGACGAAATATGACAGCCGATTTCAAGCCAAGATGGTCTGGACAAAAAAGCTATTATTTCATACAGTAGCCCTCGCTCATGCAAGCAGCTACACTGACTACTGCTTCTTGGTATGCTCAGTGAGAAAATTGAAATGCCAATGAAATTTCTATGATAAGGAAAACTTAACTACTAACTTTTACGCACACGAAAAGCATTACATTTGAAAATTGTTCCAAATACGTAAAGGAGATGTTTAAAATTTGTTACTAAAAGATTTTTAGAGCTTGAGATTATACTTTTCAAGGGTATTTTATATAATTCATCTGATTGAATCTCCTGAATTTGCACTGCGCTATCCAATCCGGTTGAAAAGTGAGGTAATTGTGGCAATACCCCCCGCGAAGAAGAGGCCTAAGTCTAGCAGTAGTGGACAGAGTGGTTGTAAAGGTAAAAGTAAGGTAATCCCTTTTCACACTGCCTGTACCGCATGTACTGTGATTATTACCAGTTTTTGTACAGCAGCGTCCCCAGACACGTGGGGCGATGAAATTATGGTAATCACAGGTGGTTTCATTGCGAGTCGCGTCTTTTAGGGTTCCTCTCCAACGTAGTGGTTTGGTTTATCAATGTTATCAACCTTTACGATGTCTGATTAACCCTTTTGTTTATGACTGAACAAGGCTCGTTTAGCTTTGGAACGAGGCTGTTTACGTTTCTGACTGTAGGTATATGTATTTTGTTATTTTTTGTGAACGTGTCTAAAAATCGTGGTCATAATTATCTAGTTCTAGATATTTATCATTGAAGTTCTACAATTATGACAATTGGGAATTCAGCTATTTCCCATACATACATAATTTTGATTGTCTTAACTTTTCATCACCTAGCATATCTAGAAGAACCCTTTGCTTTTAGATAAGGCTTGCATGTTTAAGAAATTCCTATTTAATTGCTTTTTTCCATTCATAAGCACTCTGTACTATTTGTCTCATATCTACTCATCAATGACACGCAGCGTTTCAGTAAATAATAGTTCGTACGTAGTGATTTTCTGAGGTTTTTGTTAGGACATCTAATTACAGATTTTATATACATTTCTTAACGCAATATTCTTACACTGTCTTTTAAAATAAACCAAGAGTTTAAATTACTTGCCAATACAGAAAAGTAGGGACGTTACGGCGTGTCCACATACCTCCGGCACGGCGCCGGCGCCGTGGAACGTCACGGTGTACGCCGTGGTCCGGCACGACGTCGTGTCGTGCCACGGCACGGCGCCATGCCGGACCACGACGCCGTGCCGTGACAATCCACGGCATGACACAATTCTCAGTCACCAAAGAGATTGCGTCTCTCAAAAAGAGAAATAATTATTGGTATGCCATAAATCTCGATTGGCGAAAAAAGCGACTTACAAACTTTGGGCAACAATGTAATAACTTAGTCCGAAAAATAACATAAGGGCTGCAAATAATATTAAGTGATAATGGGGACAACAAAATAATAATTTGAGAAGCAAGTTTTTACAAGCATCTTAAGTGTCTTGCGGGCAATCTCTCATTTCTTCTATCCTACTTAAGGTAAATTAGGTCGACGAACGACTTGACAAACCAGGAGACCTCTGTCAAGGTTATCTCAACGTTGACTAGGCCTCTAATATGGTAAAGTAGGCCTCTGACATGATTAAGTATATGACAGAGGCCTAACTTCTGACATATTTACAGTCCAGCAAAAAAGAGTAGAAATTAAATAAAATGGAACTAAATTTTTTTCATACTAAATTGTTGCCATTCATAGTCAATGTTGCCATATAATGTTGAAATTTCTTACACAGTGGCGCCCTCATTTTTGTCTACTCTTTTTTGCTGGACTGTAAGTATAGTTGAGCACGCCCATCGACATGATTGACATGGCCTCTGACACGGATAATATTGTGCTTAGCGTAAAACGTAACTATTTTTGAATTAGTTTAAAATTCCAGTCTGTTGAGCAAGTTTCCTCCATAAAATTTGGTGCTAGCAAGGAAATCCGCTTTTACCTAGACTTAAGAGCAATTTTTCCAGAAACTGACATCTACACGGTAGCTTAAATAGTAGGTTATAAATCATAACCAAGCGCGTTAAGCGTAAAATAGAACTAGAACAGTTAGATACATAGTCTCTATCCAAAACCACTAACTGTTTTAGTTCTATTTTACGCTTAACGCCAAGCGCGAATAGAAAATGCCTGGAAAAGCTACTGGTCCATTGAGGACTTAATTAAGGGAGACCCATTTGCTTAAAAGGCAAACTTATCCACTTGCGCATCCTTCCCAGCTAAAACAATGTCTTACAATATAAAAAAAAACTATACGGGTAATTAGTTTTACCGTAGGTCAATCAAGGATTTTTAATGCAATTTGTTTCAAACTTTATGATTAGATTAAGCAGCTAAAACCGCAAGTGAAACCGCAGGCAAAGTGCTTGACAGATGATATTATTATTATGCATGATAAACCTCCATGTGAGTAGATTTAAATAGAAAATAATACAGTTTTAAAAGACAAAACACCGTCTTCAGGTCTATGATGCAGGTAAATCGTCTGTTGGATGTTCATAGCTAGTACTGGTAGCTGACTGATGAAAATAAAAGGAATGACTTCACGACATGGAACGACATTAAGTCAAATAAAAAAAAGGTCTGGATGAAAGTGTTATGATGATGATGTCTGTCGGAAGAACAGAAATATAACGATAACAGTAAAGATTGTATTCCTTCTTGTGTTATACGGTTTTTGCAGAGTTCTTGACGCAGCGGTTAAGGTTTGAATCCGTAAAGTACAGTGTCCAGAATTAGGTTTCACGCATTATATTGTTTAATCACTATAGTAATTTTACCTAGCTAAGAGTTCCCTAAATAAGTCACTGTTATTTTATATTATTTTAAAATATTTCTAACAAGTCACATCCTACATGACACACGTTTTTTACCGAACAAGT